AAGCGAACACATACCGTTTGCTCGCTCACTTCTTGATCCTGTCCCTGCAGAGAGCCGTGACTGTCACTCATGGTTCCCTGCAGGGATTGCCCCCCCCCCTCTCCGCTCCGATCCCCCAGCGCTGACTGGAGGAATGAACGGGGGAGGGGGTGGGTACAGCTGGCTCTGCCTCTAGATAGGCAGAATCAGCTGTCAATCATGCAGCTGGGTGGATCTCGACAGTAATGTCGGGATCCGTCCCGGCTGCGGCGGTCTCAGTATACCGCGAGCTGTAGCTCGCAGTATACTGAGCTTTGGGTCACAGTAGGACGCTAGTTTATGTCCTCCCGTGACCCTGAGGAGAACTATGGGGGAAAAACACTTACCCCATAGTTCTCCTTTAAAGAAGAACTCTATGATTTATTCATTTATTCAATTAACCCTTGCAGTAGAGCTACCCCAGCAACGCAAGTATTTAATGCTCATTCTAGTTTAGGGATGAAAATAAAAAAGACTCCTCAGTCCTGCCTGGCTGCTAGACTGGTCCTCTCAGCCTCTTCTCCCGCAGGCTACAATGGTCTAAGGACCCGTGATGTCATCACATCTAATGCAGGACCATTAGCTGTAAGGGCCCCGAGGGACATACCACAGCTAGAGAGGGAGAGAGGTGAGCAGTCACTGCCACAGGACCAACGATCAGGTGAGTATATCTTTGTTATTTTCACTCCTAGACCAAAACGAGCAATTAACCCTTTCAGTGCAGAGGTAGCCCCACTGCAAGGGTTAATTTGCACTTTTTTAAGGCAGAGCATTGGATGTTATAATAGGACCAGCAGGAGAACAGGACCCCAGTCAGGTAAATGCAAGGTAGTAATATACGAGAAGTAATGCCTGCATATGTACAGATATAATTTCCCCAAAAAACTACACAGACAAACAGGGATTTTCAAACATGAACATTTATTGATAACTTTATTGATTTACATTACACTGATCCCCTTTTCATATACATCTTCAATAAAAAGAAATACTGCAGTTCCCCTTTTTCTAGCCCATGAATGAGTATGTGCTGCAAAAAGGGGAAGCATAGGTGAGTGTGTCACTACTTGTGTGGTTTTACAAACTTCCAGTATTAGAACAGGAACCTTTATACGCAATGACTATATAAGTTATATGTCATACAACACACAGTGCATTTCAAAGTAATTATAGAGTTATGGGGGTTTAAAGGAAAACTCTCCTTCTAGAATGGAGTGTGTGGTTATGGGGAGCACTGCATTATGGTTTACACCACAACATATAGCAACCAATCAGTGTTTAATTAAATTACACAGAAACTCAATTTCAATGTCCTCTCACAGGTGAATATTTTCCTTCTTGTATACTGTAGATGGCAGTAATAATTCACTGTCCCCCTCTATCTCCCATGGACAGCAGTGCTGAGATGTCTATCCCACCTCCTCTACCTACTACAGTGACGTGCGGTACCTTCACTTCTTGATGAGGCATTCCCCAGCCCCCGCACACCTAGCCATGCCCCAGCACACTGTAGCCCCACCCATATCCAGACAAAGCCCCACCCCCATCCCAAGGAAGTCCCGGCTAGTGTAACGGAGGGAGGAGCCTCCCTGGCCCTTCCTTGCTCATCACTGCTGAGGCATCAAGATTGATGGGACAGCTTGGACCAATGGCGCTTTGCCATTGGTCCAAACAATCCACAGATCCAGCTTCAACTTTTTCCTCCATAATACTAGGTGAGGCTCTGCCTCCCCTGCCTCCCCTGACCGCACGTCCCTGACCTACTATACAGGTTGTAAGAAGTCCTGCACTCTCTCATTTGGGTTTTTTGTCTATTTTAGATTGTAACTGCTGTCATAGGAATAGTGAAACTACATTGCAGAAGGGAAAGGGGATGTAGCTGACATTCCCAGGCAATATACTAAACCAGCCTCAGTTCATCCAATTACAAGGAAAATATCCGTTTTGGGTGAAAAATAATTAAAAGCTGAACCTGCAAAAAATACTTTTTTCTCCAACTGCTGCTGAACTCTGCTCCTCTCCAAAAGTCTGAAAAACAGACACCCGAGAGTGTCCATCACCTGTGTCCCCTGCTGCGCTCAGTGGTTCCTCTGGTCAGCCTCATCATCACTGTTGTGTCCTGTAGTGACATTGAGGTCAATTGGAGGAACCACTGAGCCCAGCACGTGAAATTGACACCCCCAGAAGTGTGCTTCTCATCAATCTCCAGGGGATGAATCCTTATCAACAGAGCTCAGTTTAGCCATACTGTCAGCAGGTTAGTATACAACAGCATCTTTGCAGTCAAAGTAATAATAAAGTCAAAGGGGTTTTAAGCTATTTCAAATGCTGATGCAATTACTTACAAAATGTTTAAAAGTTTTAGCTTCTTGCGAAATTACCTGGTTCCCTGATATTCTGTTTTATGGTGGCTTCTTTCCCTTGCAGAGTCTTATAGAACCACCCTTGTGTGAGCTAGTAAGCTGTCTGTGCCTCCACAAACACACAGCCATAGAAGTGCAAGACACTCCCTTCCCCCTTGCTACTCACTCCTCCCACCTCCCATCTCCATGCTAGTAGATGGGCGGCTGCTGGAGACTGCTCTGTCCTTATGATTTTGTACTGGACATGAAGTTCAGGGAAGCCGAGCTGAGAGTTTTGGAGCCGTTTGAAAAAATAATGACTGTAATTGTTTGGGCAAAAGGTTAAACAAAAACTTTGCTGGGCGATGTATATTTGTTTGATCTGGATTCACTATTGAAAAAAGAGTGTTTAATACTACTTTAAGCCACAGTTGCTTTAAGTCACTTTAAAGGTTAAGTCCACCTAAAGCTAACTTGGCTGGATGTTGTCTGATTCCATCACTCACTGACATCATAATACTCTTAGGGGTGCTTTAATATGATATATCCTATCCTAACAGATACTAGTTACTTTCACCCGACACAACCATGGTATGTTTCTCTTGCTCCATTACAAGGAATGGTTTACCCCGAAGAGTCTATGGAGAAATGTTTTGCATCTACATGGTGGTGTAATGGTGATGATGTTACTTCTAAATTCTTCAGCTGTCGGATAACTCATCTCCATGCACTAACATTGGAGCATCCCTGTACTTCACCGAACCCCTCCTGCTGTTCAGGCAAGATTACTACAAAGATCAGAAGCGTCCAACATTACAACCTTGGATAATATTTGCATCAAAGTGGTAGTGGGATCGGCCAAGACATACTGTAATATCAGCGACCACAGGTTTACTTAAAAGACGAACACTGTACAGCAAATAGCTAGTCTCTCGGGTCATTAGCTGTTCACGTAATGTTTCCTTGTTAAAATAGGGAACCAGAAATTTGCCTGTAAAACAGAATACTTTTTTTAAAATATATTAATAAAAAAATAAGTTAGAAGAGAATATGTAAAAACTTTATACAATACTGATATTTTACAACAAGGGAGTGTCTACTGCAGGGGTGCCCACAAGGTCGATCGCGATCTACCAGTCGATCGCGTAGCGATCACTGGTAGATCGCCATGTCCTCTCCTCCCGCCGCTGAATGCAGGTGTTTTTTCGTTGGTAGATCTCAATGAGCTCGTCATTTGAAAAGTAGATCTCCAGACGAAAAATAGTGGGCGCCCCTGGTCTACTGTGTACTGTGGCCTAAAATGGATGCAAACATCACACGCGCCAGGCCAATGGTGGAAGAGTCCAAAAGTGCTTTATTTGTTGAGAAAATGATTATACAATAGCCAATGCGTTTCAGGTGTAAACACATCCCCTTCCATGATACTGTATATATTAGGGATGGACCGATATATCGTCCAAAAATGGCACTTTTGGCAAAATGCCGAAAGTGAAATTTTTTGGCTGAAATAGCGGTGCATCCGTTCTTTCTTTCCTCCCCGCTGGGCGCTGCTCTGTGTCCCAGTGGGGAGAAGAGAAACTATCACAGGAGGCCGAGCACTGCAGGAGGAGAGCTTTCTGAGAGGCCGGAGTCTCTCGTCCCCGCACCGCTCAGCCTCCTGTCACAGATCAGGAGAGCGGCGGTGGGGGCGGAGACAGGCAGTGCTGTCACAGGCGGCTGAGCTCTCCTCTAACTCTGCCCAGCCTCCTGTGACAGCGCACCAGAATGGAGAGCGGGTACAAGCACTCAGCGATCGGTGATCGCTGAGTGTTTGTAAATAATTGAGGACATAGTATGGTTACTGTGTCCCAAATTATGAATAAATGGTTGGTTAATCTAATGATTATGGTCTGGAAGTCTCAGTGCCTCTTTAATATATAACGTTTTGGAGTGTACTGTGGCCTGTCCATGTGGGGCACCTTGCATCTTCTCCTGAGTAATAGTGGAACCTGAAATAAATCTCTAGACTGCAGAACTTAATGCTAGCCATGCCATTTATTACCTTTCGTCATGGCTTCACTGATACAATGCAAAGTAAACCTGTCAGGAAAGATGTCTTGGGTTGACCATTGCTGACCTCCTACCAAAAATATAAGGTTTGTGGCTGTTGTGTTGACCTGCTGGCTTTAATAGTTTCTAAAGGTGGAGATATGAGGTGTTGGATCTTCTGCTATTGGGGTATATTGCCAATTTTGCCAAGGCTAAGTCTGATTCCTGAAGCTCACTGGCTTTAGTTAGGCAGCTCTCATAAACCAAGGGATCTTCAAAGGCACCCCAGGTGGAGCCCAAATATAGATAATTCATTAAGAGCGTCAATTGTTGTAGAGTCTAAGATTTCTTATTTCTGCATACTGCGGTAACATTACTTTAAATAATCATTGTATTTCAGGGGCTCAGGAACTGCCCTTCCTGGGGCTTCAAATCTGGAACGGCAGGACGTCACGTCATTTTAACAAGCACTGGAACCCTTACTGGATCAACTTCAGATATTAATAAGTGTTCATTTATCATCTATTTGAATCCTACCATTCTAGTTTTAAGTCCTGAGGGAAAAGGGGGAGCTCCAATCCCCCAAAAATTAATTGGATATTTTATGTTGTGTTACCCCAGTATGTAGTAATGAAAAATATTCTTGAACTCAACAACAATGTACCGCTCCTATTGCATTAATAGAAAATAGTCAGAAATCTTTTATCTACATACTTTTTCCAAGTCTGTGATTATTTTATATGCTTTAGTCAGGAGTTGTTCTGTCATTTAAAAAGTTCTCAAGTCAGTTGTATCTTACCTGTGAGAGAATGTTCCTGAGTTTTCGACTTAATTTTCCGGCCAGTGTTGCCTGTGATCTTTCCGCCAGTATTTTCTGATGAAGGTAATGGACTCTCTCTAACTCTTTAGATGGGTAGAATGAAGCCATCACCAATAGTTTCATTTGTACCAGGAAAGTGGAGATTGAACCGAAGAATACTAGCACACTGATTAATATGGTCAGCGGGATCCATGAGGCACTAAGGGAGAGCTCTGGCTTTGGGACACACTGTGGTTCAAACAGGTTTATTATCATGATGTTTGGGTGTTGTGTTTGAGTCCTTCTCGAGTTGAACAAGACATCAAGGTCCACAAGATGGTGCTTTTAAGACAGGAACAAAAAGGGGACATGTATAAATATTATTTGGCAAAGTGAACATTATTTCCCAGGTTGCACATTTTGCATCATTGTTAGTACTTGTCAACGGACTGTGGGCTTGTGTTGATGGGCAAATGCAATTTGCTTTCTAGTGTAATCTGTTTTCTTTGGAGATCGGCTTCTGAGATCATGGACAGGTACGTTTGATCTCCTTTTTATGTGCATTTGATCTACTAAGCTTCATCAACCTGTTTCAGGCTGGTTTTGCATTCCCATTGACATGAGAAGCAGTATTGACGTGAACAAATGGACATTGACTCAGGCCCTCAAACTGATCCTTTCCTTAGCCCATGCAGGGCAATGGTAAAAAGGCCATTTAGCTCCTCTACTATCCTGCAGCATATACATATATTTCCTCGCTCCCAGCATGTTCTATTCAGCTGGTGGAAGCCAAATAAAATACGCAGAATTTATGGGCATGGGTGAGCATGTGACTCTTCCCTCCCCATGGTACAGTGTTAGGTGCCTTGCGTTTGGCCCTGCACTGTCACTTGGGATGTCGATATCCCTGTGTAAGCTTACTAAAAGCTTTCTTTCTCACATCAGGTCCTGATGGCTGAACATATTACAGACAAAAAAGGATTGATATGTACTGTGGGGAAGTGGGGAGGTGCATGGACAAAGTAAAAGGTCACTCTAAATCAGTGGCTCTCAAACTCGTGGGTCGCGACCCAAAAGTGGGTCGCGACACCCTCTGCAGTGGGTCGCGGCATCATGTCTGAATAGACTGGCCTGAGACTGAATAGAGAGGGGGAATTTGTGGTTCAGCCTGTGGAACCTCATGTCAAACTGTCCCCTCTCTCCCGGGCCTCCCCCGGGCTCTCCGATAAAGTGGTATGGCCCGTCTGTTTGAGAAAATTCTGGCTAGAAAACCTTTCATCCTATGCATTCTAACAGTAAAATGTACAATTATTTTTAAATAGACATCTACTGGCCACTCTAATGTGGGTGTAAAAGTGCAATGGTGATTTGTGGCAATGAATGAAACAATTTGTAAATCAGACAAGTCAACCACTTGTAATTATTTTTGTTTGCGTGCATATGTGGAGACCAATTTGTCCAGTCTGCAGAGACTCATAATTGGATTTAGAGACACTCCTGGGCCTCAGGTCACTTCATACATTTCTATACAGATTATTATTCTTGTTGAAAGGTTATCACTGTACTTAGTGTACATTTAGCATTAATTGCTTATTACATTATTACATGTGAAAAAGACTCATGTCCTTTAAGTCAAAAGCCCTTAGAAGGAACTAAAGAATAAAATAAATAAAGTAAAAAAATAATAATAAATAAACTAAAGATAAAATTGGTGCAGAGGGGAGAGGGCTGCTCGCTCTCCCCCCACCCCCCTTTCCTGCCTTGCCAGGTCAGTGCTCGGATTAAGGGACTGGTATGAGATTTTAGGCGGGACCCCACTTGTGTTGATGTTTTTTTGACATTGGGGTCTCCCTTAATATTCATACCAGACCTAAAGGGTCTGCTATGAATTTGTAGAGGAACCCCACGCATTTTATTTTTTTTAGGAGGGGGACACCACAGTGTTTTTCTTTCTATCCTATTTTTGAACAACTTGCAGGGGATTCGGTCTGCTTCGGCAAATCACTCTCCCTGTGTGTGTGTGTGTTTAGCTGTGCCGAGTTGTAGCATGTGCATACGTCTCAGCTGTTTACTTCAGCTGCTATACAGGCTATTGAGAACAGTGTGTACAGCAGCCCTTTGGTTGAGATGAACCAAAAGGTTTCAACATCCCCAGCGAGGCCAAGGATTAGCCGAACGTTCAGCTAAATCCTTCTGCTTTTTAGTTAATAACCCCTAAATATCCACAGTTAGAGTTCACATCTACTTTAATATTCGGAGTCCCTTTCCTACTAATCTCCGCAGTTTTACTAGAATGTGTTATGACTGAAAATCCTGGTCACTGTGTAGCTATCTAATAGATCTGCACAGAGATATAAGGAACAGCTATACATAATTATTGTACAGTACTATTAAGCAAGGAACAAAGCATGTATATGTAACAATTAATATATGACTGCCCCTGTGCATATATGAAATTGCAAGCAAGACCTAGAAGCAATATTTTTTTAACACAATTTGATAAAAATGAACACAAGGATACTTGTTATTATAAATCTAAAAATTTACAAAAATATAGATTACATTTACAACGTAATATGAAACTTATTATACTTACAGAAAAAGTCATAGTTATTGGAACTACAACTGGGCCCAAACTTTGCAGATGTTCGTTCACTGTAAGAATAAGCCAGTAAAGCATAAAATCTAAAAATGAAATTAAAGTCCAAATTAAAATATTTGTCATGACGGGAAGGAAATACAGAGCCCCGTTCAGCTTTTGTTTTTCTGAGGTTCTTAGGCTGGGAATTTGGATGTACTTGTTTTGCTCCTTCCTACTAAGAGGCAGAACACGCAATGCGTTTGGCTGTTTTGCATCATACTGCAAAAATTCCTTTGTAATATACGAGTTATTGGCTTTGTTGTGACTTAGGAATTTTGTAAAAAAGATCCAGATTCCAACCAAGATGATGGATATTCCTCCAATGAGAAAAGCTATACGCCCGACAGATGTTAGAATATCGAAGGCCGAAGAGAGGTTTGAAGACACGCTTTGGATGTGCGCTTTTGTTTCGTTAAGCAAAGCTTTAAGTTCGTGATCCGAAATCCTTATTTTAAATTGAAAGTCATCAGACAAGGAGACAACCTCTGCAAATGGGTTAAAAAATTGTTGTTTTGCATAGATATATATTGAATAGATCAAATTGGAGTAAAAATCGAAGGGCATGACTTTTAGAGAAACGCGCTTGGCTTCCAGATTGCAGATGATGCTGTCCGCCACAATTTTTAGGTTCCCCAAGATATTTTTCACATTATTAAAAATTACTATGCTGGTTCCAACAGTGATGAGTACGTTTCTACCTTCTCTCATGCCGCACGCCAAGAGGAACAAGATGCTCATGCAACGCACTGACTTAAAAATGCAGGCAAGAAAAAATATTAAAATACCGAGGGAAAAAGTGATGCCTAAGTTAACCAGTCCAATTTCCACCTTAGATAAGACCAAAACTAGATTTAAACAAACATTGATCGTTATTCCAAGAAGGAGACAAAGGAAACAAAAACTTACTCTGTTCCTCCATCCATTTTCTTTGCCTGAGACAAAAATCTTGGCATAGCTGAAAAGCATTTTGCTCATTTTGGCAAACATGACCAGTTGAGAAGCAAAACAAGGATGGTAAAATAAAATAAAAAATCTGGGTCCTTGAAGGCTTGTAAAACTGGAAATAGTTCTTCTGATGAATCAAGAGACAGAAAAAATGAACACGGCACTGATAAAGGCAAAAGGAAATGTACTCTGCACAATTTGGGGAATTGTTTGTAAAGCTGAAGTATTACTTCAAGTCTTGTGCTATAAGAAAAAACAATAAAAAACAGGAAAGGCACGTGGGCACATCTGAGAGTCCCGGCCACTACAGAGATGTGATTCATTATGAAATTCCCATCTGTAAGTTGCATATAAGGAAGTAGCCCTTTCGTTACCAGACCTTGCCTCCAATTTTTCATCTCAGGTGGCCAGACCATGTTTGCTACTTTTTATGTACAACTTTGAAAGTCAGTAAAAAAAAACCCATAAACCATATATTTGCTGAAAGCAAAGGACATGAAGAATGAAGAGATGATTCTATTGATTATCTCACATTATAGTTGCACAAAATCTATCTTTTTAATCATTTACAGAAATTTCTCCTGGGAAAAATTTGTGTATATCTGTGTAATGACACTATCAGACATATGCTTTAATAAAGAAAACATTTCTATGTAGGTAACCCTATCACTTGAGTATCCAATCTAGAAGTGGGATGGTCCATGAAAACATGGAAATGTCATGTGTTTCTGCCCCTACGACTGAAACATCTTTCATCTGTGGCATAAATCTTAGGCCACCAAAGTGCAACCTGTGCGCAGAGAACAGCAAGCAGTGGGAACTTTGTTTTCTGTTTACTCATCTATATTATTGTATATTCATTTTATTAATGTCAATTGTATTATTTATTATATTTTTATGATAAAATTTCACTTAACCTCTATGGCCCAAACTTTAATCACTCTGGTTTGGACTGGGTTCAGCTCCTCTGAATGCAGGTTTAGATGGTCCTCCTGCTGCTACCCAATCAGCTGTAGCCAGGGAACTCCCCACCCACAGCTGCACATAAGCAAATGGGTGCAATTTTGTGTTTTCATTGACCTTTTGTAGCCACATGGCTATATTTGGTAATATTTATTTGGTCAATGACATTGATCTAATATGGCTATATAAGGTCAATGATGTCTGTAAGCATCCTGCCCCTTTGTTTATGTGCAGCTGTAGGGCAGGGACTGCCCTGGTCCACAACTGATTGTGTGTTTGGCCCTATGTCCCTTCCTGTTCGGAGAATCTCAGGTTCAGACCAGATACGGTCCAAACCTGAGCTCATCCATATTAGTCATCTGAAGTGCAGGAAACAGCAAACTGCGAACTGTATTACTCTATCTTCCATTGAGGGATACTACTTAGTGGATTTAATCAACATAGGGATATATACAGTGTTCCAGTTTAAATTTAAAGGATTGAACTGTTACTTCTCCTTCCACTGTGTTTGGCCTCGGGTTCTTATAAATGTAAATGTGTGTAAAAATGTTTCCTCTTCACCTGCTATTTGATTATTTTATTTCCAAAGATTGAAGAACTCCAGACAAGCAATTCCTAGTCCATGAAAAGCTTCAGAGGCTCTACCCCCTTCCAAAGAATTTTGTCAAGAAATAGTCTACTGCTCCTAAGGTTGTGTTTTGCATTAACAAGACCAAAACATCCCTATCAAAGACGCTCCATACTTTAAGGATCCTACTGACAAGAGGTTGGAAGAACTTTCTCAATCCATTTCTCCTTAGTGGATTGTCCCATCAACAAATTTATCATTTTCAGCTCCCATACATTCAGTCCATGATTTTAGCTGTTTGTCTGGAGTTCATCTTTGAACAATGAGAAGTACTGATGCAACCTTTAAGAAAAAAATCCCCACAACCAGTTAGCAGATGTGGAGGTGCATAATAAATAAAGGTTCCTCTTACATATTTTAGTCAGTATTCATATTGAAAGTCAATCTGAGAGTAATACTGACACATTTTATATAAATGTTTATACATATTACCTGCTTGCAATTGTGTTTTTTCATGGTACCATTTCATGTTCAGGTTTGTCGGTGCAGCCTCTAGTGAGTATCATGTAGTGCAAGTAGCACACATGCTCAGCAACTGCTATAAACTAAGTCAATTGAAGGTAAGCCAAATGAAAGGTGTCTTGTTTTCTACAGAATGCATAAAGCGGAAGTCAAAGTAAAAGAATAAAATAAAAATTCACTTGAGAAACCCCCGGGGCATGCAAGTGAAGAAACTTTCACTTATAAAAGTAAACTGTGAAAGTACTGTGATATCTTCTTCAAATATCAGGTCACATGACCTGGCTGTCCTGATTCCCACTTCCAAAAAGCCCAGGGTAAGCGTTCCCTGCAGAGGCTCAAGCTATTATCATGTGATATAGTCACATGACATTGGAACTACTCTCAGTAGGTGTGGGAGACAGCAGAAGTAGCAGAAATATGTTTTATTGTGGTGCTACTGCTGCAAAAAATCAGGCCTACAGAATATGGGGAGCATTTTACCACTTCACATGTGACAGTGCAGGGGTCTAGCAGCCCTTTAGGTCACTGCTCCCCCCGGCACTGACACTGTGATTTTTTATGGCTATTGTGAAAGAGGAAGAGGCATGGGGAGTACAACTGGGTTAAGAAGGGGCCAGGTTGGGGGGGAGGGCCCTTTGCACAGACACGGTCTCATTGCCCTGCATGGGCAGGGTGACAGTGTTTCTTTTAATATGAACCTACGGTACTCTTGCTATAGCAAGTTCTTTAAATGCTTTGTGCCTACGGCTTATAGAGCCAGATCTTTACCTTTTTAGCAATTATATGCATTTTATGTATAATATATATATATATTCTCAGCCCTGCTGACTCACCACAATTCATAAATACGATGGTGAATACAAAGATCCCAACTAACATTCATAAATAAACATACAGCAATGCAGATATTATAGAAATAGGTGAAAGTGGCCATTAAATAATTTTCTTTCATTCCCTCCCAGTGCTCCACTTATTCTTCCGTGTCTTCATTGCTCCTCTATGGAAGTTGCTGTGTTTCCATGGCAAACCAGCTCTGATGCTGAGAACTATGTCACTCCGGTTGTCAAGTGGCTTCATCAAGAAGCCTGCAATAATGGTATATCTATAGCATGTCAGCTGAGTATTGTATTTGCCTATAAATAAAATGATGAATAGAACACATATTTTGTCAGATTTCATTATTTCTCATTTAAAGGGCAACTCTAGGCAAAAAAGATAAGTGCACAGCCGATATACATAGTGGTGCTGTTTAACCTGAAAAATATTGGTGATGGTTAGAGCCATCCAGCCCATCCATCAACACACCCAAATCCACCCAACCCATCCACCCAAACACACACCTTTTAAAAAGTCTGGCAAACACAGTTTTGTGTTATATATCGTTATATTATCTTCTTGGTTTACATTAAATGTGGCACTTTTTTGATAATTTGATTATGCAAGTCCCATTCACACCAAAGGAAGGAAGGTAACCCAAAAATGTATGGGTGTGGATGGGACCAGCTTACACTGCTGTGTTGTAATGCGTTACTTTGCAGTGCGCTGAAAACAAAACGGATGTCAACACAAGGGAACAAAACGCACGTAAATAAAACATACATAGAAGTCTGTCCACTAAGGATGTTAATTAAAATGAAGATTGCCCAAAACATTTTTTTTAAAAATATATATAAAAACCGCAAAGCAACAGAAGTCAACAGACCTCCGTTGACTTAAGATTTCGGTCCAATTTTAGTGTGAACGGGCCCTGATTTAGATTGTCCAACTACGTATTGTGAGGTCCTGTGTCAGGAAGGTCCGCATATTTCCAGTATAAGGAGACTGCTGCAGGCACATGCACATATTACAGAGATTGACACTGTTCTTAATGTGGACATTCACACATATCTTTAAAATAACAACAAAGACACCTTTAGAAATGTTTAGTAATGATAATCTACAAACACATACTTCTAGATCATTGCCGGCTTTGTATTCTTTGCATACATTATTTCTCTTTTCTTCCCCAGTCTCCTGACAGTGGCCATGTTTACTAAGGGCAGATTACTAGATCTCTCTTTACTTCCTGGAACTCTATCACATGTGACTAGGACATGTGACCATGGACATCATCTTGTCAGGGCTCCACCCTGATTTAACTGGTTTGTAGCATTCTGGCTTGGCTACCATTCCACCCACCTGTGATTCCACCTTTGTCTGAGCAGACTGTCAGTGCCGGTGCTTGGATTCTTGCCTACACAGGCAATGTGCATTTTTGCGCCCCCCCGAACCTCCTTCCCCCCTCCCTGACCCCCTGTAGCGCTGGGCCTGCTTGTGCTATGTTTTTTTTCACTTACCTTCGGCGCGGTTGTATAATGTTGCTCACTATTCCCAGGCTCCCTCTTATAGCTAAACAGAAGAGCAACATCTGAGAGAGCCAGTTGGGAGTTTCCTGTTTTTGAGTGATGATGTCATCCCGCTCAGTATTTAAACTGCTTCAGTGTATGACCCTATAATGTCTGACATTCTCCTCAGGTTCCTGCTCCTGGCTTGTTCCTGACGATGCTGATCTCCGTGTTCCTGACCTGGCTTGTACTGCTACCAACTCTGGCTCCTGACTTTGGTTTATTCCTGTTTATGATTTTTGCTTGCTCCTGTTTACACGTTTCTTATGCCCGTCTGGTTTTCAGTGTGCTCCGTTACATCTCAGAGGAGGAAAATGCCTTTCCCTGACATCTCATATGATTACAGATGATATTTCAAAGCAATGCTCTGCTGATGTAACCTTCCCAGGATGCAACACTTGGGCACATTACATAATTTGTGCCAGAAGTGGACCAGGAAGTGGATGAACTCTAGTTGCAAGTAAATGAAAAACAAGTTTGTTTAACTAATGAATGTAATATGATTTTGAATCAGCATGCAGAGCTGCAGGCTGATGTGATTTTTAGTGAAAGGGGGGTAAAGGTCCACTTTAAGCTGACTGCTGGCCAAGCAT